CTTTTTTAGGATTGTTGTATATGTTTATGATTTAATTTAAAGATATTACAACGTTTCAAGTTAAACATCAGTTTTAAAATCTCTCCTTCCTCGTTCAGATTTAGCGGTAGTTACAGACTGCTGACCGATATCTAAGAACGCCACATCTGATACAGCAGACGGACAAAATAAATGTGTTGTATGATGCGATACGCAAAGGGAACACGAGAAACGTTATATTATATTTATTATATATATATATAAAACAACTACAAGCTCGTATGAATGAAAGTCATCTCACTTTTCTATTTTTCTTCACAGACATATATAAATGTAATTAGTAATAATAACAAAGTATAAATAATACCAACGTTAAAATAAGCTATTAACACATTTAAGATTATATTTACGCTAAGAAAAGTAAATATTTTTTTCGTTATTTTTAAGTTAATCGATTCATATTTGGAGATTGAAATACTTACAAAGTACATAACAAAAAGCTCACTAATATTTTAATTGAGTTTCGGTAAGTTGCACAAAAGTCCATTGAGGTTTAAAGACTTTAAGCACAAATGAATGTTATAAATTTGAAAATTTGTATAGCGAATGACGCTTTTTACAGACGTTTCGGATCCTCACAGACTAAATCCATTGAAATGGTTTTATTAAATGAGATGTGTAAGTAATAAATAACGCATGTCTATACTAAAATCAAAAGAGGTAAAGTTTTTCCACTTTGTTTGTTTATTTGCGATTCTCAGAATTACTAATCTGGGGAGCGATTCTGTAAAAATTCCGAATTCAAATCGCAGGGCTGATCCTGAAAATACTACCACCTACTGGAAGCTACAACACTCGCGGATGCTGGGCTATAACAGAGATGATGCATAAGTAAAAATCCATTTACACCGTCAGTTAGAAATAAGAATAGAAAGATATGCAATTCATATTCTTTTTGGTGCAATTTAACAAGAAAGTGGTGGCTTACTACGTCTCAACTATGTAGAGAATGTACAGAGGTGACGTCACACTACATTCAATTCAATGTTTTGCCGTAATTTATATCGATTTCGCAAAAAAATAGAAACATCCGGGTTAAATTTTGTTCAACAATCTATCCGTCGGACAAATAGTCAAAAAATTTACATCATCCCTATTTACACGGACGAGGTTGCGGGAAACCAGCTAGTTACATTATACAATCGAATAACAGTACCATCGAACAAGCGTCAATTCACGTCAGAGAGTACGTCGACGGCCAAGCATCGAACCCGCGACCTTTCAGCCGCTCCGCCCCCGCGGAATCAATTAGGTTGCGCGTGAGTGGCCCATCCCACCGCGTTTATGTGACGCAAACGAGACAGAACCAAATTTCTAGTGTTAGATCAAATGGCAGACAAAATTGTTATCAATATATATAAATATCAATTGCTGTTCGTTTGTCTCAATATAACTCGAAAGCGACTGGACTGATTTAACTGAATTTGGTTTGGAAATGTTTGTTGTAGTCCAGGAAAGGTTTAACGGTGAGAAAATATGGAAAAAAAATCAAAGCAAAGAAGTTAGTTAATACAACAAAAAAACGGCTGCTCATAAAATGGGTGACCCAAAGCTTAATTACATCCAGATCTTCCCTTAACAGCAGATTTAAATCTTTGGGTACAGTTTCATCTGCAATCGTTAACACTTACTAATCCGCACTGGGTCCGCATGGTTTATTGTCCGTTTTCCCTTTTTGTTAACTCCCACGAGTAATGCCAGTATCAGGGACAAATTAAAAAATAGAAATAATATTGACTTCTTATATTTTCACGCGCCCTTGAATATAAATGAAAGAACTTTTAAACGGTTCCATAGCATCGCACAACACCTTAGTCTTGTGTGAACACCGGAACCTGTAAAGGGTCCGATACGTCAGTAAAAGAAACGCGATGAAAACGGTTGAGAGTTGTTGGGTTGTTGTTGAGTTGTCAACGGAGTAGTTGTTTCAAAAAATTGTTTACGCAAATACACACATAAAACCTCCGATCAACTTTAAAAGAAGTTTAAATCTAATATATTAAAAGTTTTTTTTTTATATTACATGTATTGAATGGCCATTTAGAGACATTTAGGTTTTAAATAGTTTCATTATTTACTTTAATGTATGGTTAGACACAGTTACTAAGTAACAGAAGTTGTTAATTAACAAAACACCGTGAAGTATAATAATAATATTAAAATAAGTCTCCCCCACAAGAACCCGAGATCCGTGATAAGTGCAGACGCGCGATACGGCCGCGTGATAAGATTTGATTCCCGGCTGATGCTGAGCCAAGATAACAATATTTTGGGAAATATTTTGTGAAGACAATAGAATTTGTTAGACATGCCTCGTTTGTAAAGTTAAGAGATTATTTGAAATAGATATTTTATATAGATAACGATGTAGGGTATATTATAACTAAAAAAATAGTTTAATTTCTTTAAAATGTTGAGTTGTTTTTAAAAGTTGTGATTTAAAATTTACTGAAGATTTTCTTTAGTTTTGTATAAAATTTAATGTTAATTGTATTTATATCAGACAGTAAACAAACCATGCAGCTGTACCGTAGGACAACTCAGCTTATGATTATGTAATAATCTAAATAGAATCTTAACTATCTGCATTCCTCACAAATCAATGGTGACAAATACATAATAATATTGGACTTCAGGTGGATATTACATTGGCAAAATGCAGATAGTTGACTTGATAAAGATTGAGATACGATTATTAAACATTAGCAGCAGAAATTACAAGCTAAAATATATTGAACGATTCAAAGGCACTTTTATTAAGTTTATTTGAATAAAGATTTTTTTTGACTTTGAATGTTTAAACATTTAAAAAAGTAATTATGACGGAATAATCGGTGCAGTGTTACCAACCCTAAGGTTTTAACAGTAGATTTGCTGTTTACACATTGAAGAGAACAAATCTTTATTTTCTTATACTTATATATTTTAAGAGTAATTTATATGCGACCGCAACGTGTGCTTAACTAAAATAATGAATTAATGGACGACTTTTTTAATAACAAGTGGCGTTATTCTGTTTTGTTATCAATTATTATCAGAAGGAAACCGGTCGGGTTATTGACTAACCCACTGATACTAATTATTCTACAGTTATTAAAATAAATGGTAATTATTGCGTTTATTGCGTTTTAATAACCTTAAATGTTTACAAAGAGGTTGTATATGATTTAAAAAGGTATTTTCTTATTTTTCTACGATCAATATAGATATTTCATAAATGCATAGAGTAACTCTAGAATTTACAAAGGAAGTCTAGGTATTAGAATAATACCATTTTTGACAAAAAAAAATATTTAAAAAATACATTCATATTATATATTCTTAATCTGTTAATGGACTCTAACTTATGAGTAACTTAAGTCGTCGTACAAGCAGTGCATAAATATTCACACTCTATTATCTGAAAGCAAAGAACTCGTATCAATTTTAGTCTCAGTTCATTTTTCAAATAAAATACCCCATAGTATTCACTTGAGATTCTTTCAATACATTCTCGTAACCCCAAAGAACACCCCCGTTTGATAATAGACATGAAATCTCAGTGTAGATAAGGCCCCCCCGTTATCAGCTCATCGGGTGCCGCGGTCCGCTGCGTTCGCTCTCACGTCGCACAACCGATCTACAGAGCTAAACCTTTTTATAGAAACTTTTTGGTTATAAAAGCGTTTATGGTCGGCCCAGCTTTTTTTTTAAAGTTACACTCCATGTTTTGCTGTGTGAAAAGTTATATATCGATTTTACATGTGATAAAGTGATTGACATTTGTTCGAGGTAATAGAAATTTTAGCATGAATGCATATACTTTTTCATTTTTAGACGAGTTTATTGCAATAATATAGAGATATTTCAAAAACTACTAGCTATTTTAAGATTTATAATTCTTATATTTCGTACATGCAACTAGATGCTCTAATAAAGGGCATGCACGACTTTGACACGTTTGACATTGACAGCGCCTGTCAAAACACAAACGAGCCACACACGGCCGGTATTTCGAATCGCTCATTTTGACATTGCCAGTTTTTATCTGATGCCATTGAATATCTGATTACAATCAGCTGGTGTCGTGATCTTGGGGATTCGATCTTGGATATACGGCTCCGCAGTAAATTTAACAGATAATACACACCAACATAAGGTATAAAGTGTTGAAATTGTCTAATAAATCATTGTATGAATTGCCATAAAAGTTAAAACGATATACTGTTGATAGCTTTTAGTATAAGACTCTTCAAAGAATAAAGTAAGTTCGAAATTTAAATTTAAATTTAAAGAATAAAGTAAGTTCGTAATAATTCTTTGTAACCAATGATATTATATTAAAATTGTATTGTTTGTAACTAACTTTTTTATTACTTACTTATTTAAAATGACAAAAAAGTTTACAACCTTGCGAAGGTTATTATAGTATATTTATCATCGAAATTTAAGTTGATTCACAACACAAATAAAGTGTAATGTATTAAGTAAAAAATAGTGTTTACATATAGGAAACCGTTACGGCTATCTGAATTACAAACAAGATAAAAGACGAACAATCTTAACGATGTTTTTATCATCTTTCCGTTGAATGTCTAGTTACACTAACAAGAAATAATGACCTGAGATAATCGCACAGTTTCATTTACAAAAATATGAGGAATTATTACAATCTATTAAGATTATAATGTTTATCGCTTATGTGTCAAAAGAGCCACTACCAAACTCTACCAAAAAAATAACTAAAAAGTAGTACATGTGTTATGAATTTCTTTATCTGAATCTGTTTTTCTACAAAATTTTCCTTATTATTGGATGTTCACCGCGCAATTTAGTTCTAAATTCAACTATTTTAGTGTACATAACATATGCATTCAGTGTTCTATTGTTAAATTTCAATTATTTCATTGTTTCTGCTTAGAAAGTTTTCATTCAATGCATGCTAGAGATAACGAAGAAAATATAAACAACTTGTCGCTTACACATTGTTTTGACGACGTCAGCGCCCCCTGCCGGCAGTTGCGAGCACGCCAGCTCCAGCTGTTTCAGGTACCTCAGCCACAAAAGCATCACACCACGAACCGAACACAGATTATGCACAAGTTTTTGACATTATTATTCTCAATACGACACAGAGTATATTCGGGCCGTCATTCTTTTGCCGCGCAGTGTGAGTGACTGGCTGGCTGGCGTCGAGCGCCCCTCTGCACACTATCGCGGCCCGCGTATACGCGACGCACACAGGCACAAGCCCGATCCCTTATCAGTAGGTTTAACTAGCAATGGCTGCCCGGAGATGGTATCACGTCGGGCTCGCGGTAACGTTGCATTGAAAGATAACGTCTGTGATACTATCGTTGTTTGAATAAACTTGTATAAAATGTCAAATAAAAAAAGTTGCCATAAGTCTGCCCGATTTTTTGATAGCGCTTCGTGATGGCGCGGTTCGTACGGACCGCGCGATACGATGTTGTCTGTGCTTCATGTTTTTTTTTTATTATTTTTAAAAGTACCTTTAATATAGGAAAATTAGTGAATATACAAACGATATTGTTTTATAAAGGTATGATATCTACTCCAAAAAATTAAATCGACAGCATTAAAAACTTACTTAAAAACCATTTTATCATGGACAAAATGTAACAGTTTGTTTACACTTAAAGACGAAAAAAGTACCTCTATAATTATTTAACAAAAATCGATTACGTATTACTCTATTTTAATCTATATCTACTTATAACGAAATATATTAGATACTCTATATCTATCTCTATTTTTTATGTTTATCTATAACTAAATCTACTTTAGATACTAATCTTGATAATAACTATGATAACCTGTTTCTAAATATCGACCGGCGTAATCTTTTAATCAGCATAATGGAAAGTGTGGCCTATAGCACTGCCTTGTTTTTTCCAATAAGTTACTAACAATATTTTTGATAAAAAACGAATTAACTCAAGCAATCTACTTCTAGAAAAATATTGTTTCGCGTCTTCAATTACTTTTGAATATTAATGTTGTCGATAATTTTTCATATTATTTAATAAATTTTATTCAGTCATTAATTTTAGAGTGGTAACAGAAAAAATTACGTAAAATTTTTTTGTCCTTTTTCACTATTTCGGCCATGTCTCTTAAAAATATTTTTTCAGAAAAAGAATGAGCCATTTCTTTATAAAAACGCACTCAGATTAAAAATCATAACTCAAGTTATAATTTTAAGATGTGAAACTTTCTTTGTTTTTTTTTTTACGTTTTTAATATACATTTTAAAGTTGATTGAAGAAATTTAGCTACGTTTAAATGTTTTGCATATCTATGGTACATACTATTAAATCTCATCTTCAAGAAACAAGACAATATCTTTACAGTTATATTTAAGAGATTTACTAATGGAATCTATAATAGTCATGTTGCATTTACAAATGTATAATATTCGCAAAATCTTGAAAGAATTTTTGTTACAAATAATAAAACAGTGTTCAAAAATGCTTTCCAAAAATTTTTAAATCGATCAATTATATTTTAGATACAAAGGGGTTATTAACTTTAATAACCCCTTTGTATTATTGATACTCTAAGACATGATGCCGAATTAAGAGAATTTATTTGATTTTAAAGAAACATCTTAGTATAATATTTCACTATTTGAAGGGTAGGTAATATATTTCAAATGAACAAAAAATAACTTTACTTTATTTCAATACCGAAAAATAAGCCAAATGTTGACAAAATTAGATATATTTATTCGAAGTTCTTCAATTTATAGGAGTGTAGGTTGATTTACTTGTATGTGTAACATATTTGATGCACTTTACATGAGTTTCGAGTGTCATCAGCACAACATATTCTTCCCCCTTTCCGAGGGCTGTATCAAAGCATTAAGAATCCATTAGTTGAAAAGAAATCTTTGATTAATTTGAGTTATCGCACCAACCGGCTGGTTATTATCGAACCAGACGTTAACGTTGATTTATACTGGCTTATCTCGCGAGATGGCGCCACCTACTATCTGGGGTGTACACCATTTCTTTCGGTTTGAGTATTTATGTACATGTGGCAGCACATCAGTATTTTCACATTTGAATACGCGATACATTAGAATTTGATGGATGGCAACAATTTTTTTTATACTCGTAATAACCAAATTTACCAGAGTCAGTATAAAACCGTGACAAGAAGTTATAATTACGTGAGAACTCTGATTTTCTTTAATATTTCGATGTAAATAGGGGGTGATATTGTTATAAAATAATGAAAGCTCTAAAAGTCAAAGTTGATAAAAAATATTTTGTTATATAAGGTAATTAAAAACATAAGGTATTAATATTGTATAGTATACTTTTGTATAAATAATCTATACATTAAATTTGGATAAAATTAAGCAAATATAAAATCACAAACATATAAATAACATGACATACAATTGTCATGCTTGATATGCTCTCAACTGTACTATAGAAACAACAGCGGCTTCTGTTTGAGGGGAATGTGTGATTCAGTGTAATTGTATTTGTTCAATCTAAAGTGAATCTTATTTTGAACAACTGAAGGCATTAAATTAGACAACAACATAAAGTTTTCTGATTAGATTCGATACGATTCCTTTCAAAATCTTGAATTAAGAGTCCAAGTGTTTTGACTTTTGTATTTTTTTATTAAATTTAAAAATCACTTACACTTTAGTAATGGACATAAACGTAAACATAAGTAATGACAAATATAGACATTAATTTCACTATTTCTATAATAATATTATAAAAAGGAAAGATTTGATTGTTTGTTTGTTTGCTTGCATAGAGTAAGCTCCGAAACCACTAGACCAATTTGAAATTTTCTTTTACCTACGGTAGATAATATGAGGTTAAAATAGGACATAATTTACGCAGGCGTAATCGTGGGATAACAGCTAGTATAATATATAATTATATTTCTATGTGAGTCACTAATGTTAAATGATTGAAGTAAAATGTCACGGCATAAGCACTAGTATACAATTTTAACTTATAATCAGCACCGACACAAAAACTGGTTACAAAAAAGAAACAATGAGACTAACCTCCTTCGATCTAAGATATGAATATAAAAAATAATAGTTCTATGTAAATGAGCGACGCATGGTGATGGTAGATAATGTAATCTGTGCCAGAGATCTAGCAACCTTGATGCCAAGCACCTGCTTCATATCAGAGATCAGTAAGTACCTTGCATCAAACGTCGTGCCAAATCTTCTATATTCTATGGGAGCTCTAATCTGACTTGTTATAGGGTTTTATTTTTCCCTTTTCTTTAGTGTGCACTTTAACGTCTGATCACGTTTACTCTCTGAAAGATTTTTGGTCAATGCTGACCGCTAATGTAATTCTCTGGGTAAATACAAAATGTCTATAATATTTTTATCTAAAAATGAACCTTACGAGCTGCAACTTCGGACCAGATATCCATGTTGTGAGCATCATAGTAGCGAGTCGTAATAATTTCAAATTTTAGAAATGAGTTATTCTTTTTGCTTCTTCAAAGAATTATAAACCTATTGGAATTAATTTGGTATGTGTTTGCTCTTGGAATTTGAAAAAAAATCTAAATCAATTATTATGTAATCAATTTACTCAATTAAATAATTTTTCTATTTAATATCTCTTAGTTAAATATAATAGGGAAAATGCAGCCCTTGCTGAATTTCTTGTCGGTTCTTTTCGATACAAGGACTTCCTCCGTAGATTTAAGAACCAATAACATAGAGTCTCGACTTTCACAAGTGGTTATAACAACCTAGACTGAATAAAAAATTTTGATTAAATTTCATTAGCGACCAGCATTATTAGATTTAACTAGAAGGAGAAAGTTCATTGTTGACTCGTATAAGCGCATGAATGTACAGCTAGAAAGAAGGATTTTTATACCCAATTTCGAAACTGCTTATGAAATCTAACCATAGTTTATTATATATTATGAAATCTAACGATGGTTGAACATATTAAATGCAAATTATTACAAATATATCGAATTATTTTCTTTTCAATACGTCTAGAACTAAAACACGGTATAAAGTGACTATAAATCTTTACGTTTGTTAAGTAACGTAACGTCTTCATGAGAGACCACCAACACACCGGTCGTTAACGGCCCGTTTGTGATAAAACGAGAGTGGAGCTGGTCCAACACGCCTCCGAAACTCAAATTAGTCGGTCAATAAAATGTCTTGTCCAACAATCCGTAGTTGATAAGTACTGTTAATTGAGACTATTTTAGACGTAACATAATTAGGTACGTATATATTTTTAATTAACATTTTTCTTGTGACTTTTAATGATATAAAATGTAGATCTTAATGTCGCTGAGGTTGGCGCATTTAGTCTGCGATGTGGAGGTTAAGCGTGAATGGGTTACTCAAGATTATCTCGAGTTCCTCCGTTGAAGTTCGTTAAGCTGCTGGCTCCGGCTGTATCTGCAGTCGTTCACACTGATCAAGGTGAGTGTTATAGACTATGGTCCGTTTTCCCGCCCCGATTCTCTGATATGATGATGAAACAAACGATCAAATCATTCCTCTTTATAATATTAGTATAGATAAAAAGGTAAAGATTTTAAGTTTATTTGATTATAGAGTATAGTCTTCGGAAACACTGATCCGATTATGAAACTTCTTTCACCTATAGGAAGTTATATCATACGAGGGTAATATCGACTATAATGTACGCCAGCGAAGTCGCGGGAAATTAGCTAGTATGTACATATAAAGATTTGATGTAGGAAAGTAACGAAATAAGTAGGTAAAGGTATTCAAAGACTCTTTTGTCTCTGATTACGGCATCTCGAGTTCCACCCAGTTATATTACAAAGAGGTGTAATTAGACGGCTTTAAAAAAAACAACAATCAACAATCGGTTCGAATGGTGCCGGCTCATCGGAGCGATCAGCGATCGGATAGAGCGATCGATGACTTATCAGTGGACCCCCCTCGCCACCCCCCACCCACGCAGTTGGACAACAGTAATGGCAAAAGCATCACTAGCTGAAAATATTATTGACGAAGAATTATAACCGATTTAACAATATATTTAATTTAAATTGTTTTTAAACTTTTTATAAGTTTTTGACGTCGGTTTTATTTCAAAATACATTATTTCTTCCCATTTTAAAATTGATTCCTATATTAAAAATGACATTTA